AATGCCATTCCTCATTTTTCTCTCTCTCTCTCTCTCTCTCGCTCTTCCGCTTGCAATTTATCCAACTCCATATCAGTGCAAACTGATGCTAATGAACAATGGAATAAGAACGATCGTGTCTCGCATGAATACCGCGACGATCGACCCATCACAAACATATGAAGAATAAATCACATAATGTGTGAATTGTTGTTTTTTTCCCGTTCCAACTTTATCTGTTTTTTCTGCTCTTCCAATGATGCGTCTGTCTGTTCTGGAGTTCATTGTACATTTATTGAAACATCGGTATGCCACCTACTTAATATGACTGCTTGTTTTGTTTTGTTTTGTTTTTGTTTCGCTTCAATTTAATCAAACCAGCTGTGTATGCATACATACAATTCATCGAACTAAGTAATAAAAGAATTACATAAAATGAAAATATAACACAACACAAAACACACCGTAAGCGCGCAATCACACTCACCGTCCAAAGAAATAAATATTATGCGAACGTGTGCGCGCACAGCTCCTTTGCATCATATACAAAAACTTAACGGTAAAATCGTATAACATCGTACTTTTATTTATAAATCTTTCTCTGTCTCTTATGTACCGGCAATACCGACATCGTAATAATAACAATAAAAATATCGCACTTGCTCGCGATAAGTAATTACTATTTATAAACAATTATAATATAACACAGCTCTATGGAGCCGTTTGCCGTGTATTCAGTTAGTTGCGCGCGTGAGCCCCACTGGATCGAGAGTATACACGCAAGAGAAATGGAATGAATTGAGAAAAAAAGCACGAAGCAACATCCAGAACATGCAGAAGAAAAAACACATAGACAAAAAAGAAATATATACAGCATATAAACTGAACACCGATTGAGAGAATGAAAAATTTTGCACTTACACAAAAACTGTATAGTATATATTGCGTAGATTAACAACACCGAAAATTACCTGCATATATGTATAAATTAATAATGGAACAGAATCGACAACATTTTTTTTTTCGGAATATATGAAATATCTCGCGACCATTTTATCGCATTAAATAACTTTGCTCACCAGTCTAATTTGATGTGAGATGGAGATGTTCAAAAACATATATTCACCAAAACCCAATGAAACTCATCTCGAAATTAGTATTTTTTTGTCCCTCTCTCGCTTATTTTTTCATCAATGTACATTTTACATGCCAGAATGTGCACTCAAACTCAATACTTTTACAGAAACAAAAAAATGGCACAAAACCAAAGACTTGCACCGTTCAACGTCATGATTTTCATAAGCCAACATTGTACGAAAACGTTTTTAATGTCGATGAAACTACATTTTCCCTCGAAATGATGTTGTTCAAAAAAAGATGACTTCAACTCAAATGCATCACAATTTTTTTCCGGGATAATTACCATTTGTGTGCTTTTTTCAAGGCATTTTATGCTTTTCATGTTGCCGATGAGAGTGGCGAGTAGGAAATGAAAAGGGGAAAATCTTTTTGAAATCGGGAACCAAACCGAAATTTCTCGAATCTATCGTTAAACTTATCGTGAGCTCGAACTTTCACATTTTCTTTAAATTAAATCTGTCTTTTTTACATGCTTTGAATTTAATAGTTCCTTTGTTTATTCTTATTATTATTTTTTGTCGTTGCGTTTGAGCTTCTACAAAAAGGAATTAGGCCAAAGATAACAGTCCATATACACAACAGGTCTCTGTCTATCAGTCATATGCGTTTGAGTTTGGCGCGTTCCGTTTCTGTCTCTTTTCATCGCATTGCCACAAAGTCAATGGTGACGATGAGAAGAAGAAAACTGGCATCGAAAGAAACGACGAAACGTCGCACATTAACCAATCAAACACACACACACACACACACACACACACACACACACACATTTTTCCTACAGAACAATTCATTTTTTTATCGCATTCGAAATGATGAAGCAAAACAATTGTGGTGCCGCGATTTTTTGACGTCAATATAAACACTATCGTACATTTCCAAATGTGTGCTCTGCATTATAGAAAATTGAATGTGTTTTTTGTGTGTCTATTGTCAATCGATTCGGCTTTGAGTACCCGGTACAGTTTATTTTGACATTTTGTGAAATAGTGACCAAATATCGAATACAAATAAACAAAAAAAAGCAAACTTTTACAACGTGATGTAATCGCCGCAATGATAATTGCAATTAATATTTTATTGTACAAAAAAAGCACCGCTTTTAAATTCGAAACAAAGTTTAACTATATTTGGAGTTCAATGGAATCAAGTCATACAGTTCATTGTTGTAGGGTTATTTTTATCAGTTTACATTCTTTTTTCTTATCATTTTTTTTAAACTCATATAAAACTTTTATTAGAGTATCCATATGTGATTGAATTTTTATTCTGTGTTAAGAAGTGAAGTCTCGCGCATCTGAATCATGTGCACGAAATGGTGAAATGATGAAGAGATAAGCAATAAAACAAAATAAAAACAATAAATAAATCGCATTAGCGGAAAATGGAATCTGTTGAATCGATCAAGGAACGGATTCACAAAACAGAAGGAACATTTTTCTCGTTCAAACGCACATATTTCTCTGTTAGCAATTTCCTAATGCTTGAAAATCTAGAACAAAAAAAGGCTTTTTTCGTTTATCGTTTGATTTCTCAAAATTGTGTGTTTTCCCTCCTTTTTTTCACAAAAAAAGCAACGAATGACGAGATAGTAGGAAAGAGAAAATGCAGAAAATAGAATCAAACGAGCATTTATCTGTTTATAATAGAATGTTTTGTACGCTGTACAATATGCAAACGCAACAGAGTCCCCTTTAAATACGTATAGTTTATGTGTGTATATTTTTGTGTGAGTATTTTACATTCGAGAATGGATACATAGATGAAAAAAAGCAAGTGATGTCGTCTTCGAGAAGAGTTTGATGTCGTTGTTCGGCCTCTTTTCTTCGTTTCGAAATTTTGTTTCGATCCTACTCAGAACGGTTGATGTGTTGATAATCGAAAATTGCATCGATGCACTTGGCACAAAACGGCACTCATACATACTGTCACACACGCATGTATATACGCAGAGAAATAGTGCTGGCTTGGGTTTGAATAAGAGCAAGCAAGATAGCAATAGAAAAAACCAATCGGGAAAAATGGATCAACGGCAGCGCCAACCGATTACAACGAACAGGTCGAAATGGCCTATTTCTTGGCATGATTCATTCCCACTGTATGAATAAGTGTGTGCGTGTGTGTGCCATTGTCGCACAATGGTTAAATAATTTTATTTTGCATATGTGCATGTGTGATTAAAATAAAATCGAATTGATGCGCGCCCATTGTGCAATAGGCAATGCGATGTGTGTGAACGTGTTTGTATGCACTCAAGACAATAAACGACAACGAAACATATTCGAAAACTAAACTTTGTTCTGTCGATTCACAATCTACATATCACTCTCACTCTATCTTATTCTTTCATCATTATAACATATTTTTCGGATAGCTGACTCTATTATCACAATTGACTTACATATACAAATGCATGATATGCGTAACTCTAGTCTCAATGTTGTTTGCTTCACATTTCACCCGTTCCATTGTCGTCGTCGTCGTCGTCATGATAGTTGGAGTTAGTCGCTTTTGCTTCTACTCGAACTGCATTTTTCGTATCAAATTATCATGTGATACACATGTTAACGTAGCCGTTGTAATACACGAGCACCCATCAAATTATCTGTCAAATATGCACGAACGGTAAACTTTGTTTACTTGTTGAAATTCTACACAGTGTGCTTCTTCAATGAAATTCACTGATTTATCTATCAACAGGTAAATAAGTTGATTGGTCGTCGTAGTCGTTGTCAGAATTGGGTCAATTCGACAAATGAATAAAAAAAAAAAAAATACAGAACGAAAGAAATATATCGATGAAGGAACTTGAGTGTCAGCGTTCATTCGCTTGCACACATTTTCTATTAGTTAATCAAAGTGAATGATGACATCGAAAATCAATTCTTAACTCTTTTAAACCCCCTTTCCAATGACTATAGGCGTTCTTCTCCATCTGCTTAATCTCAATCTTTTGTTGACTGTGGCTCTTATCAAATAAAAAAAATGCAATTGAGTAAATTGCAAACGACACAAACAAACCAATGAAGAAATGGGAATGAGAATTTTTTTTAGTCTTTCATGGTTTGTTTGATGAAAACAAAAGTACGCAAAATAATTAAAAATTGTAAATCAATCAAATAATTAATATTGTGTGATTGAGTTGTTAGCGTTTAGTTGCACAAATTTATTATTCAACACAGTTGAGTTGCCTTTCGACTTTCACCATATGCGTTGAAATCGGAACACTTATGTAAGTCAATAGCATCATCCTTTGAACTCATTCAAACGATTCTATCTGTCTAATGGCCAAACATCAATCGATTTGTTGTTGTTGTTAAATTTAAAAATGAAACTGAAACCGAACAAAAAAAAACCGTCGAAGTTATTGAGAAGTTAATGAACTTTGAATTCGTACGCGTGTGTCAGTCGACTATGTGTCGACGCATCGCGCCAACAAACGAATTGGCTTGTGCGAAAGAGCGTACACGCACGTTCTTGTTTGCTTGTTCGCTTCGTCATAATTAACTCTCGAATCCAAAAATAAATCACAATAACGTTATTCGGTTCTTCCTAGAGCCGCAGTCACCGCAACCGCCGAATTCTCATCACATCTGTCACGACAGATAGACAGTTTGTTCGGTTTTTTTTTGTTTGTTCATTCTAATGGGCAAACTAAAATTTGAAGTGTATGTAAATGCGAAAAAAAAACGTCGTAAATAATGAGACGCGCCTGTGAGCTTGTTTGATTGCTCACACGAGTGCAAAAACCGAATGTAATTTGGGGAAAAATCGTACAATTGTCAATCGTTTTTTAATGGGCTTTTTTCCCTATTTATTGTTTTAGTTTTCTTCAACAAAAAATGTCTTTTTTTTCTATTTCGTTTTCTTTTCAAATCACCTAGAGTTTTGAGTCTACCGAGCAAGAGACCTACTGAATATGAGTAATATCGCGCAAAGCATGTGAGAGCCGCTATTCAGTTTAGAACTGTCAGAGAATATAGACAAAATAACAGACGAAGAAGAAATTCGGAGAACGAACGAAAAAATAAAACAGAATTTTGAACGAGAAATAGATTTTCTCTGTGTATGCAAGGCATTAGACTGGTCTATGTTTGCAAGAGTGTGGAAATACATAGAAAAGACAACGAACTTTATCTCACTGACAACTGTTTTTTTTTTGCATTTTATTGTCGTTGTTGAGAAAGACAGAGAGACAGCGAGAGATGAGCGCTTAGTTTGTCGTCTGTGTCGTATCATACACCGAAAAAAATATCGTGGTGATACTTGTGTGCAACGAACGATACACACACTCTGTAACTGTAAAAACTGTGTGTTCGCGTGCGCGCGCGCGCTCGACACTCTAATCGTCCGTTGAATCAATCTAGTTTCGATTTTGTTTTGTCATCAGTTGTGTCACATATACACACATTGGGCCCGTGCACTCACATCGCTCACTCTTTTTGAAAATTGAAAAAGACCGAAGAAGAACAATCGTCGATTTATGTGAATATTCGCGTAATAAAAAGTTTGTTGATATATTTTTTTTTCGTTTCGATCTGTTGTTGAAAGGATTTTGAATAAGTTTGCGTAGAAACGATTATTGTTTGGTGTTTAATAACCAGGAAAAAAAGAACGAAGAAGAGTCAAACAGACATTCGTGGAAAGGTGCCACTCGAATCAATATACATACAAGATTTGTTCATTCATTTATCATTTCGAAATAGTGATATGTGGTTTAAGATGTGTTTAACAATGTTTAAAAAAGTGAAAATTAAAACGACAAGATAAAATAAAACCACCAACAAATACATTCATGCAAAACAGTTTTTTTTTTTTGTTTCTTACATCGATAATTTCGAGGAGATCGTTTTTTGTTTTTCGTTTGGTTTGTGCTTCATTTTGGTGGCGTTCACACGGAGAGTGACAAAGAGAGCGAAAGCGAAACTGCAACATGTTAATAATGAACGCAATCGATTCGAAAAGGATGCACATTGCGAATGGTAAAAGGTCAATCGATGCACTGAATGTGAATGAAACAATTAGTGAATAAGAAATATAGAGAAAAAAAGACCGCGTGAATTACAATTGCTGACATATAACTGTTGTGGACCAATATTCTTCATTTGTTTTTCATTTTGTGTATTTGATCATTTTCAACGCTTAATTGGATTGGATTGTTCACGGGGTATATACCACCGAACAAGAGCATGACATCGACAAGAAGATAAAAAAAGAGATTGAAAAGTGCAACACTTATCGAATGAATATTTATATCACAAGAGTGACGGTAAAATTACAAAACAAATAAAATTTATAAAAAAAGAGCATATTGTTTATTGCCGTAAATCGCTGCATTTCACTTTGCATTGACAACAACGGATTTAAAGATAAGTTATTACATACTGTATAGAGACAATAAAGTCACGCATACAGTTTCACTGAGAGAAACTTTTAAACTTTTTTTTTGTGCGAAAACAGAACAGCACAGAGAAAGAGAAGTGGTGTTTATTTACTGAACTTTTTACTTTGAAGTGCGAACAACCAAACATGAGGCCTTATATAATATGACGCACAATCATCAATACGTTTAAGCCAACCATAATAAAGCAGACGAAACAAGAACAAAACTAAGAGACCCACAACAAAAGAAAATCTTTATCAATCGGAACAATTGTTTTACGGGAAAAGAAAGAATATACAATTTGGACGAAGCGATAAATAAGAGAGAAAATAGACTTGCAACACGTACAATTTCGATGAACAACAAAAACGAGAAGAAACAACGATAATAAAACAGTGCATGTGTTTTAACAAAAACTAAAAAATAAAACCAAGTAAATTTGACCAAAGCCGACACCCAATTCACGTTAAAACTGTAAAAACGGCAAACCGTTTAATACTATTGTTATTTTGTGTTTGCATTTATCGCATTATCGTCATTCGTCGATTTCGCGAAAACTAAGAAACAACAAGAGATTTCGCACAAAACACGAACTTCTCACTTAAAAAAAAGAAAAACATATAATTTTTTCTGTGTACACGCGTTAAATTCAACTGTGGATTATAAATGTATACCTCAAGGATGTTTGATATGTGGAGCAATGTTACTTCCAAATTCGAAGGACATACATCGCTACAGACAAATGTACAAACAAACGGCGGACAAACACAATCAAGTGGTTCAATCAAAGGTAAATGAACATATAGTTTTATGTAAAATTCTCTTCTATTATACTAAATTAAGATTCTTGTGCGCAAAATTAATTGTAATTTTGATTGGCGCCCAAAAAAAAAACAAACAAACTGTAAATAAAATCTGTTTTTTTCGCATTATCATTTGATTTGGATACAAACAAATGGAGTCCAAAATGCATACAACACATTTACTTTTATTAGGACTTTGACATCACCAAAAATGGTTGATTTTTAAATTTATATATGTTTCATTCATTTTTAAATCCGAAAAATTATATGATCATCGATAAAACTATTATTAATAATGTTTCTTTTTTTGAGTATCGAAAGCATTTTGTGAAGAGATTTACGAGCAGTCAGTTGCCCTTTCGCGTTTTAATGTGGTGGCTAATCTGATCGGCGCTGATGAACACGAATGCGCATTGATGACTTTTAAACAGCTCATTTTATGAAGTTGCTTCCAATTCCAAAGAAAGGCACACACACACACACAAACAAACCAACAAAAAAACCATACAACAATTATTTAGCGTCCGAATTTGAATGAAATTCGTGAAGAAGAAGAAAAGCAATATAAAACAAAACCAACGTTCGCGATGCGACTTGAATAAAGCGAAAAAATGTAATGAAGAAGAAAAAAAACCCCAGCATTCAGAAACTTTTCATTATGAAAACGGTATTGTTTTCGCATCATTTGCTGTTTCTCATCGCACACATACACATTCTTTTATTTAAGTTTCCATAAAATGATTATATAATTTTGCTTGCAAACAGTCTGCAGTGTATGGGTATGCAAGCGAGAGAGAGAGAGAGAGAGAGAGAGAGAGAGAGAGAGAGAGTAAGAGATATAATGAGTGTGTTACATTCACATAATTGTCTATATAAGCAAAACCAAAATGATCAAAACAGAAGCGCCAACAAGTCATAAGACAGTCACTCACACAAACGCTGACTTCCAATTTCAAAAGAAAAAAAAAAGATCCATTTGTCCAAAATCGCAAAAGAAGCATTGAACATCTTTTGCTCTCGTCCGTAAATCGTGTTTAATGTTTAAAAGAAAATTTCGCTCGTAATTTCTACGCTTTGATTGATCAATGTGGTAGTAGGCAACACACCAATCGATATCATTTTTCACTCATTTCAATTCACAATAAGCTTTTGTATCTCACGCGTTGTTCAATACACTCATGCTTTGGAGGCTTTGTGAATTTTTCGCTCTCTTGTAAATAGTTTTCAAACGGTATATTGCTATAATGAGAAGAGAAAAAAACACAACGGAGGGAAGACCGCAAATAAAACAGTTATGTCGTCATGGTGAGCTTTCGTGTGTCGTTCTGTTTCTTTTAAATACGATAGATGTGTGAGACTGATGGAATTTCAATACATATTCGCCCAGAATCATTCTGTATATGAAATCGGTTCTTGGGTTATTTTTCATTCAAAAAAGACAAAAGACCGATGTCAAATCGAAGATACAGGAAGAGAGAACGATAGCAAAAGTGAGCGATTTGTAAAATAACATACCGAAGCAATTGTCTGAAATAAATTGAAAATTAACCATATGCGCCATATGATTTGGTGCCACCCTTGACAATCGATCAATAAAAATGAAAGTATATAAAGCTGTTGGAGCACTTTCGACTAGGATTTGTCGCAATTATTGTTGTCATTGCAATTTGAAAAATCCCTTTTTCAAAAGCAGTATTAATGCTCCCCTGAGTTTAAATTCCACCACTTCCGCATTTCAAACCAACATGATCATCCATATCGACTACTAGTCGACGACTACTAACATTGTGTTTCTAATTTCCATTTTCCTGTTTATAAAATACTAGCTGTTTGCTATCTACTCTCTTTCGAATGAATATTTGCATTTAATTCCAACCATTGCAATAAAAAATCAAACAAAAAAATGACTCATTTGCAATCAAATCGGAATTGCATCGAATAGTCTGTATAAATTTAAGCAAATAAAATCACATAATGCACATTGTGCATTCATCTACTTGCTATTTCTCCAAAAACCCGGTTCACCATTTTCCATTATGCAAAAAAGAAAAGACCTGTAAAAATAAACAGATTTGTTGACAATAAAATGAATGAGAAAATTCTGGCTAATTATGGATTTTCTTTTCATAAAATACGAACAATATCGATGACGCTTCGATGCAAACGAATAAGCCAACAAACTTTTTATGGTCACTTGCGAACCGCCACAATGACCATCGTTCAAAAAGCTTTCTAACTCAGTTCAAAGAAAATTTTCCATTTTTTTTCTTCGATCATTTGAATAGAGAATGATTGTTATTGTTATAGAATTTACTGTTTGCTCGCGAACAAAATACACACAAAGAAAAAAAAAATGCAAATAAATGTTGCCTTTGGCCAACTGCTGTTGTTTCGATAATTGGCCAGATTCATCAATAATGATTTTCGATATGGATTGGCCCATACCCATACAAATGAACGTCCTGCATTATATTTAATAGCATGTGTATGTGTATGAGTGCACGCTGAAATATAAATAATAATAATGAATCATTTGAAAATGATGTTGTACTTTCGTCCATTACACTGGATCCGAATGGATGTTGGATGTTGGACCATAAATAAGAAAGAGAAAGAGAAGAATATCGAAATGAGTAATAAAATGTGAAATTTGACTAGCAACCAAATCAGCCGAAAAAAATATTTACATGTGAACGCACAAAGGTCTGAATACACTATTCACCATCTCACCGAAAAAAAAATATATTTACTATTACGTAGACTTTCTCTTTTTTACCGAATCTAACCAACAATAACTACCATCACCGTTGTTGTCGTTGTCGTCATCGTTGTATGTATTTTAGTTTTTAAGTTTACCGTTCGTTTTAGTTAATTTTTTTTTAATTTTTCGGTCTCTTATGTTGTGAGTGATTTCTTTTCGAGTGTACATCTACACCGTGTTCACTGAGAAGACCAATCGACCAAACTCCCGCCCGCCCGTTCGTTTCTGCTCACCTATGTATGTGTGTGTGTGTGTGTGAGCATCGAAAAATTGTCGAAAATATGCGTACGTGTGTGAGTGTTATTTTGTGAATGTTTAGTTTATTTGGTTACCAGCGCTTTTTTCTCTTCTCTTCACTCTTCTTATGTCTGTTCTGCATGTGTCTGTGCGATCATGATCGCAGGTCGTCAATGGGTAAAAACCAAAATATCGAATCAGTCGATCATATGTGCTCGTTGCTTTTCCGTGTTGAAATTTAAAAGAAACGAAATTGAGATCTCGTTAAATCTTCTACTGGAACAACCATTTTGAGGTCTAGTTTGTATTGTGGTTTTGTCGATGAAATTTTCATAATTTTCATTCCAACAAGTGTAACCGACGAATCTTACCGTTTTTTTCTTCTTCTTTCTCACTTGAAAAAGAAAACAACTTTTTATATATATTTTTGGTGTAATTGTTTTATTAACAAAAAAAAAATTGTGATTTACACGGAGACAGTTCAGACTCGTAGAGGCTTTGCACACAAATGGATAGTTGAGATTTTGAAAGTGTGGCAATTGCTTTTTATTTTCTTGTTCACCAAAAATGATTTAGACAGTGAGTGATATCGAACCATTTCAATTAACAACAACAATAACGAACTGAACAACAACAACAACAAAACAAGATACGAGATATAAACAGTGCGATTTTAATTCGATTGAGTGAACGGATCAAGCATTTCCTTTCGCTGTATTGCAATTGAAGTTTTAGTTATATTGTTGTCGTTTATTATTTTTTCTGTGTGACGATTGTGTGTTTTGTTTTATCTGTGTGGTGGTGTATCGTATTTCAAATTTATCGCGTGTGCATTCTTTACTGTCTCTGTCTTAAATGCGTTACTGTATGGATAAATAAATGGATTGATATTCGTCTTTCATTTTCATAAGTTTTGGAATAGTGAATGTTAAACATTATTAAACAAATACACACAAAAGGAGATTTATACATACGAGAATCAAATTACATAATCAATTGATGAATGACAAGCGATTCGATCGTACCAAGATACACAAAAAAATGAAATGGAATGGTAAGCCATAATATTGTTTTAAGAGCGACCGTTTTTGTTAAAGTTTTTTTCCCTCCCGTCTATTTGATGCATGTTGAATTTTGACATATCCTGTTTCCGAGTTAGCGAGATGCGAGCCCAACATCTTTTTTTTACTAGAAAAGTTTTTAAAGATAAGAGAAAAAAAAAAACAAATTAAATTTCAATGAAAAGAACGTACGGTTGATTCTGTGAAAAACCTTTCACCTCAAAACTTCTTACGCGCTTATTATGTTCACATACATAAAAAATGGCGGATGAAAAATGCGAAACAAGCATTTCACCAGAGCTTTGCAACAATGGATTGCATTGTCATTTGTTGTGTATGTGTTATGTACTTATCGCCCACGCAACAAATAGCTATAACCACGCATAGAAACGTTGAAGTGACTGCAAAACAAATGATATCCAAAGTCCACCACTTTCTCATCATCAATGACATACTAGTAGAATTATGATATTACAGAGAACTCTATTTATACCAATTCCACCTTGCTCAACGGCTGTCTGATATAACCACTCATCAAGCACATTTGATTGACAAAAAAGGGACACAACAAAACCCCTTCTGATATGAATCTATTGTACAAGAATGTAGCTTATATATGGAAATATATTTCAATAGAAACAATCAATTTTTTATTGAAACAACAAAACCAAAAGCAAATGCTTTTATTTCTACTACAAAAGGGGGGAAAAAATAATTTTTATGTTTGATATCAATAATCCATCGTGTTTATTAGAAAATAATATGGAATAAATTACTGAAATTTAATGAGAGGTCTGAAAGCAAACATATTATATTCAGTGTTTGCTAAAAAATTACTCCATTTTTTTCGATTGATACCAATGTGATGAAGATAAAGACTTGCAACCGAAAAAAAAAAAAAATATATCGAATTGTCTTGGCGCGAACA